ATTGCTGATGATATAGTTATAATTGATAAGACGTGAGGAGGTGTTGACGAGAGGCTGGAGGTTTGGAGACAGACCCTTGAGTCTAAAGGTTTCAAGTTGATCAGGACTAAGACTGAGTACTTGGAGTGCAAGTTCAGACGATGTTACGAAGGAAGTGGACAGCGACGTGAGGCTTGATTCATAAGTCATCCCCAAGAAATGAAGTTTTAAGTACCTTGGGTTGATTATCCAGGGGAACGGGGAGATCGACGAGGATGTCACGCACCGTATAGGGGCAGGTTGGATGAAATGGAGGTTAGCATCTAGTGTTTTGTGTGACAAGAAGGTGCCCCCGAAATTTAAAGACAGGTTCTACAGAGCGGTGGTTAGACCGGCCATGTTGTATGGATCAGAATGTTGGCCAGTTAAGATTGCCCATATCCAGAAGATGAAAGTAACAGAAATGAGGATGTTGAGATGGATGTGCGGGCACACGATTCAAGCAAGGGTGGGCGTGGCTCCCATGGAAGACAAAATGCGGGAAGTGAGGCTTAGATGTTTCGGGCATGTGCAGAGGAGAAGCCTAGATGCCTCGGTTAGGAGGTGCGAGCGGTTGGCTCTGACGGGTATGAGGAGAGGTAGAGGGCGGCCAAAGAAGTATTGGGGAGAGGTGATCAGGCAGGACATGACGCGGTTTCAGCATATCGAGGACATGACCCTTGATAGGAAGGTATGGAGGGATCAGAGAGCATTAGGGTTGAAGGTTAGTAGCTAGTTGAGTATTTTTCTACTCCGTTCTGTGTGTAAGTCTAGTCGGTCAGTGTCGTGTTTTAGTATGCCAGTGGTACATGTTGTGCTCGTACTATTTTCTAGGACCTTGTCACTGCACTGGTTATTGATATTGCTTTTCTAGGTATATTTTCCGACTCTTGGCTCGCTGGTACTATCTTTCTGGTTATGTTGTTGTTACTATTCTATTGTTGCATTTCATCTTCTTATGTTGAGGATCTATTTGGGAACAACCTCTCTGCTCCTAGGCTACACACTATCCTCCTAGACCCCACTTGTAAGATTATACTGGGTTGTTGTTGTTATAGCCATCAAGTGACAAAGTATGGCAACTCTCCAAATTCGATTTTATTTTAACAATATTTTCGACTTTTTGACATTATCTTTCATGACTGTAAGGTGAAAAGAGAAGATTTTTGTTTTTTACTTCTTCAATTTGGTCATCAAGGGAAAAAGATCTCTCTAGGTTACATCATTTTTTACAAATAAATATTTTCTCATTTAATTTTGCATGTCTTACTCAATTTTACTATAGCCTCCTTCCTTTTCTAGTTTCCCTATAATGCTTTTATGTATTTGAACATCATTAGAAATTTCAAGAAATATCAGGTACCAAAGTAATGGCTTTAGTCATTATTAAGAGTAGGATATTCATTTCTTCTTATAGTTTGCGTTTAGTTTTTCCTTTTTGTTGTTGTTAACAGGAAAGTGATTTCATTCTGTAACATTTTGTGATTTTGATGACCTCCTTTATTTTTGTTACAGGTCCATAAGCTAACAAACACGCAATATATTTTTTTGCTTTGTTTTGCCTTTCCAAATCAAGGCGCTCATAGAATATTTTCCCTTACGTTTTATTCAATGCCTTTACATGTTTAAATTCATAAGAATTTTCAAGAAACTTTAATGTATAGGATTTAAAATCATTGGTTTAGTCATTAGTGAGAGTAGGACTATTTTTATAGTTTGACTTTACTTTTTCCTTTATGTTTTGTTAATTAACATGTAATTTTTATTAATTTTCTTAAATTTCGTTACTGCCTTTTGGGTTTGTAACTTTTTTGAGATATTGATTTTCTTTATTATTGTATCAAGCCGCTACTCTTAGAGAGAGGTTGGAGTCAAATAAACATGTTTTATGCTTTTATTTCCCTTTTTTCTCAAATAACTATGACTTTTTTTCACTAAAATCATATATCTATATTTTCTCACACAAAAATCATAAAATTTTCACTAACTCACTCAAAAATTATAGTGACTAGAAAAACACAATTTTCCGGCAGTATTTTCTTATTCCACATTTTTTAGTTTTTTATTTTCAGTTTAATAAATAATAAGCCAATTAAAATAGGAAATATATATATATATATATATATTAGCCGTCCCAAAAATAATACCTTGATAAACATATATATAAAATAACTATGTGTGTATATATTATATACATATAATATACACATTCTATATATTTTTTGGCTAGTGAATACAATTAGTTTTAGCCAACCGATAATTTTTATAATTTTTTTATTAAAATAGGAATAACCCAATTCAACCTGCCCAATACCTATATACATATATTAAAGTAATACTAAAAGTGATACCCCCCCCCCCCCCCCCC